TGGGGGGGGGGGGGGGGCATTGAATGAAAATTTACTATCATAATTTCCATTGTGGGCCGAGGTTGTTGTCCCCGATTTCCTGGGTTTTTTAATAGTTTGGACCGGATGGTGTTTCCCAGAGCCGGCCAACGGAATCCATTTCCTCCCCCACACTTATGTTGTGCGTGTATACCGCCTTACAGCACGTTCTGTGCAAAAAGCTATCGTTAAATATATTAGCCAGCCTTCCTGTGGCTTGCAGATCGGCCAACTTCATGGCTGCCAACTATGCTTTAAGAGAAGCATTCTCAAAACTGAGATCTTGGAATAGTTTTAATTGTGGTTGGTTTGCAGGTGCTCTGGTGTGGTTTGCTCCTTATTTCCTATCTAATATCTGTCGTTTTATCTCACCCCATTCTTATCGTTGTATTTTTTCTCTCTAGTAACACCTCTAATCTTCGGCACTTCAATGACCTCTTTGTGTTGCAAATGTTGTAAAACTCGTACTGAAACTACAGCAAGCATTCTCATCTTGGGCTCCGATGGGGGCGCTACCAGGAGACGAGTATGCCTCCCAGCAGAAAGACTTTGGCACTTGATAGAGATTTCTCCCTACTCGAGAATCGACCTCGGGTCTCCTTCTTGCGACAGCGAAGTGCCCAACTGCTCTACCAGGATACCACAAACGCTGATAGCTATCCCTTCGTCTGTGCTGCACCGTCTCTACGTCCAGTATTCTGTTACATTAATTATTTGGCTGCATGATTCATAATCCGAAACATACACCGAGGATAATAATATGTTAGGAACGAAGGGGATTTTTAAGAGAGGGCGTGTGTGTGTGTGTGTATGTGTGTGTGTGTGTGTGTGTGTGTGTGTGTGTGTGTGTGTGTGTGTGAGAGAGAGAGAGAGAGGGGGGGGGATGAAAAAAGGGTCAGAAGAAAAGGGGAAGGGGTTATGGTTGAAAAAAGCGCCGGAGAGGAGGGAGAAATGTTAAGGTTGAAAAGAGGACCCGTGATGGGGGGGAGGGGTTAGTTTGAAAAGAGGGCGCGGAGGGGGTAGGGGATGAGAATCAGACTATACGAGAATAATGGAATAGCGCCTGTTGTACAGTGCTGTCGGTGGAGTTGCTGTGATAAATAGTTCCAGTTCCTCATGCTGTATTAAGTGGTTTGCACGAGGAACGAGCTTATATTCAAGAACCCTGGCTTAGACTGCCAAGTTTCTGCTTAATAGTCCTACTTCCGCCGGAAGGTGCCTTACAGAAGAAAAACAGAAAAGATGCAATCATGCGATAAATGCCTAAGTTTCTTGAGCAGGGTGTTGTGAAAAACATAAACCCGAAAAACAAAGAAAAACACCATTACCCCCCCCA